TTTTCATGTCCTAAGATAACCTTTCATTAATCATTAATTTACATAACTTCTATTCAGGGAACGGGTACTATAGCTAGTTTTAAATATTTTTTAGATAGCTATTCAACAGTTGTAACACAGTTCGAACCCTGATCGCGTATACTTTGAATAAGAGCGTTCCTTCAGATATTTTTGTGGTTAATTTAAATAAATAATCGACGTTTTTGTTTTAATTGTACAAGTGTTTGCGTTGAATTATTGCTGGTTATATTTAATTTTTGTGTCACTAAACCTGCGACAACAATTTTACTGTGGTGAATAGACATCTTGTTGGCTTACTATACGAAATGTTAGTTGAAACACTGTGTTGATATACTATATGAAATGTTAGTTGAAACACTGTGTTGATATACTATATGAAATGTTAGTTGAAACACTGTGTTGATATACTATACGAAATGTTAGTTGAAACACTGTGTTGATATACTATATGAAATGTTAGTTGAAACACTGTGTTGATATACTATACGAAATGTTAGTTGAAACACTGTGTTGATATACTATATGAAATGTTAGTTGAAACACTGTGTTGATATACTATATGAAATGTTAGTTAAAACACTGTGTTGACATACTATACGAAATGGTAGTTAAAAAAAAAAGAGAAACATTTTAACCAACTAGTTGGTTATGGTCTTCTGTGCCTCTCAGCTTATGAAGCAGGCCATCTTTTCCATCCACTACAATAAATACTCCACTTAATAAAACATTACAGGAACTAATTCTTCTTCTTGACCTTCATAGAGCACATTTTATTTGTAACAACAACAAAAATATTTGGCTCAAAACTTGAAAACAGCTATGATTGTGGATTTAATTGCTATTACACATACTATGACAAAGAATAGTGTATTTATCCTCCTAATGAAGCTAAATCCTGCACTCTGTAGTGTTCTCGAACGTGCACAGGTTGGAGGGCGGAGCAAGGTGTTTTAGTTGCTAGCATGATGACTACTGCCAAAAATATTACGAAGTTAATCCCGAAATAGAAACTGACGTCATAAATCTGCAAATTATTATTACTATGGACCTGTGACACATAAAACGGTTTTCGTGGAGAGAAAGTTGTGGACAAACCAGTTGAAAATCAACCCTCACACTTCCTAGAAGATTGGTGTCGGAGAGAGTAAGAAGTACCCGGAGCTGGACAAAATAACTGCTACTTTGTAGCATGAATAAACAGTGAGCCGGAAGGAATCCGTTGCAATTTGCTGTAAACAAGTAGAGAAGAAAAAGGTGGGTTTTGAATTTGTGTGTAATTACCGTGACGAGAGATCTACGAGGCTCGATACGTGAAGTTACCTCCCTTGGGCTCGGAATGACCTTCAGGAGACTCCGGAACGTCGTCATGGAAATGAAAGGACGTGAATGGTGAGCACCTCTTACCTCGACCTCCAGCCTCTTTGCTGAAGGATATCCTTGTTCCAGTGATTCGTCGTAGTGGTGCATGAATCCATTTTCAAACAGTCACGTATCAGTTTATTGATATCAAGTGCTTTTTTCTTTGTACTTAACGCGTGTCACGAATACTAATTGTAGTGATTATTAAGAAAACTAAACTAAATATGAAGATCAAAACTGAAGTTATTTCAAAGTAGCATGTAAATCGATCGAGGCAATCCTCCATAACACCTTGACTAGGAATACTTATTGTTCTAAATCAATACTCAAGGACAGTAAAACATACGATGCTCTGGAACATTAACTGGGTATCCTTGCTGCTAATGATATTTTTGGTCCAATTTCCAATAACCATCTGACGAGATTCGGTTAGCTTGAGATAATTAAGTTATTTGTAAACCCACCAGTACATCAACAGTGAAAAATAATCTTCAAAAAGGTGTTTATAGTTTTAACATTATAAGTAATAAGAAACTTACTAAAACAAAAATAGAATATCTCACTACACAAGAAGGACGTAAAAATACACCAATTTTCTGACATTTAATCACAATAACTTATAAATACTAAGAGGCCAGGTGTGGCCTAGTGGTGAGAGAGAAATCGGGTTATGAATTTGAATATTTACGTTCGCGCTCGTTTGTTGCAAAAACTCACTCCGTACTTTAAGGCCGTAGGTGTTCCACAAAGGTCAAATTGGTCAGAAAGAAGTAGCCCAAGGATTGGTGGTGAATGTTTTTGACTAGCTACCTTCGGTCTAGCCTTTCAATTAAAAATTAGGAAAGGCTACGCGCAGATAGTCCTCGTGTAGCTTTACTCGAAACTCTAAAACAAACAGACGATAGCCAATATACGGATAATATACCCAAAGCTTTCATGTATTCACAGTATTGAACATCCAACGTCACATAGTTGTTACAAAGTTCACTAAAATGCATAAAAATACTATCCGCCTATCTGGATTTTCATTTATCCTTTTGAATTTTTATATAGTAATGAGAGTGTCCGAAACAACATAACTTACGATTTTTTTTCTTGAACTATCACAGATATAACATAATCAGCAGACCCAGTATGGCTTAGTCACTTTAGTGGTTAGCATGGCGGGCTGTGGATCAGAAGGCCCAATATTCAAATCCCTGATATGATTCTGAACACATTTCGCCATTTTAGCTGTGGACATGTTATGAAAGTGACAGTCAGTTCCACTATTCAGTTAAGGCAGCTATTTAGGCAGTGGGTGATGCTCAGTAGTTGTTATACATCTGGTCAGACGTTCAAAATTAGAGACGACTGTGTTTGAACTTTGGGTTTCTGACCTGACCGTTTAGCCCGTGTATAGCATAAGGTGACTTTAAGACTGAATATATCGTACATTATAACAACTCTAGCCTAAGGCAAAACTTTTTACTTTACCTCTTGTATACATACTGAGACCATTCGTCCCCTTTGCATTAGAATAGTGCCGTTTTCCATGGTTATATTCCGGAAAATTCGAGACTCTATGTTAAACACGTTTTTTCCATGTTTGGCCCATAAAATATCTATGTTTTGAGCTTCAAAATATATTTACAATATTTACACAACAAAATCACTTTCAGCTTTAAAGTACTGTTCTGTAACTCTTTTCCTAATGTCGACTTTACTGACTTTACACGTTATAGTTTAGAAAAAACAATCGGCTGTTTTCACTGAAAATTCCCAAAATGCGCATGCGTGGAAGTAAAATGATCATTTGTTCCTTTCACATAAGTGGTCACTTTGTATATATATATAATTTGTAAGTTTTATATAATCCCTGGGTATACTTCACAGAAAGCCGCTCTTTCATAGTTGGGATGTTATATAAGTTAATTCCGGTTGGAAAATAGTAGGAGTTAATAAAATCAGATATATTTATACATCAAAAGAGATATGACTTCAAAACTTTAGCGACAGCAACTCTCTGATTATGTTTAACTGATTATGAGTTTAATTTTATTTAACTCTGTAAAGGAATATATATTTTAAGCATTTTTGGATACATAAGAGTAACTAGGGAAACAGACAACCGTAACATTTTAATTGATCATCCTTTCTTTGTTCATCTTACTCCATTTCACGGAATCTAGAAGGTCAAATTAAACACGTGGCTGACTTTCTCTGTCTCTAAAATTATTTGACTTCGCTTGAAAACGATGAATAAATTTTACATTAATTCTCGTTAAAATGTAGGCCAGTAACAATGTGTATATATTAATAAGAGATTGATAGATAAGTCGTGTTCGAAATTAAAATGTTAAACATCAAGAATATACTTCACCTTTTCCTTAGTGTCAAGTTCTAAAAGTATCGTTCATGCTATCTAGTTCCACATGTAACCCTCCAATACTTCAAGGCTCCAAATCATATCTAGTTCCACACGTAACTATCCAATACTTCAAGCCTCCAAATCATATCTAGTTCCACACGTAACTATCCAATACTTCAACTTTTCTAGAGAACAGTCTATCTGTGTGTGATCCTCTGTGTCCACTAGTAGATTTCTCAGACCGCACAGTACACATCCTGTCACTCACCCCCAGGAGCTGGCGTTAGGCAGAATGCAACCGTTCTGGCATAAGAGCATGTGTCCGAGTGTTAAAATGGTGAAATGTTTTCGTCATACGCCAAGTGTTTATTAGGACGCACGAACGTGGTATTAAAACAATAAATGTACATTTTAAGACTGTACTGTGTGTGTGTTTAAAACACAAACATTTTAAAATGCTTATTATTTACAAAATATCCCATGAAGGTCGCTTTTTTTAGCTATTCGTTTTGGCAGGATAGGAAGTATGCAATGCGTTATAAAAGTCAAGGTTGTTAATATTGTAGTGCAGTTAGAAAAATAATAAATTAAAAAGATATGCGATTTTCCAACTTCTTTTGATGTAAGGAATTTTAATTTGGTACCCAGTTGTTGTTTCTTTTTCTTTTTGGCTGCTTAATTTAAAGGAAGTTCAGTTGCGTATTTTCTCTAGCTAATATATGTGTACTCAATTTGATACTAATGTAAGTAGTCTCAAATAATTAGTGCTGTGTGTATTATATTTATTTAAAAATAGGCTCACATAAGTAGAAATTATTTGAATATGAAATCTTTACCTTGATGTTGACGTCACACTATAAAATTTAGTACTATACCACTGTCAATAATAGTCTGAATTATGCATTCATTTGGAATTGAGTCTAATCAATAAATCATTGCTTTGTAAATTGAATTGTATGAGATCCCCACACGAAACAATGTTTCAATTTCTAGAAACAATATATATATATATATATACAATTAATACGTTAGAAAATCCTTAAGATTATTACTTCAATCACTCTGGAGAACAATTTTTTGGAAGATTTATCATTTCTCTGAAATAGTTTTTTTTTTTTATGATCAATATAACTTTTCTCCAAGCTAGTAGAATCGTTCTTAATGTCGTTTGACGTTCTGAGTTCAATATTCCTAATAAAAATATTTGAAGTTCCTATAAAAATAGCACGTTTCAAGTTTTAGTCGTTATAAAGATTAAGAATTCGATAAGTTCCATAAATTATTTTAATTAAAGATAAAAACAAATATAAAACATATACATACACGTGGCTCATGTAGTTCTATCGACATTATGCGTTAATAGTATCTAGAAATCTGCCAACTGTGGGAAACTTTGAACAGAATAACGAAAATTGGAGAGCTTGGCAAATATAACTGTTTAAAGTAAAAAAATTGCAGATAATTAACAAGACTTATACTCGAATGTTTTGCTTCCAACTCACTCAACCTTTCTATACCTTTAACGGGTATAAAGCCATATCTTTACTTAATTTGTTATATTTTTCTCAATATACACTAACACGTGTAGATTATGAAAGAAGCAAGCCCATCAACTTTGGAGCTGTAAAATAAAAAAAACAACAGATATATAGATTGAAATTCAAATAATTAAGTGTTTCGAATTATAAAATAACAATATGTCCACACTTTTTAAGCAATATCACGATAGAAGAGAATATAATTAGCTTAATTTGGGTAATTAATGTTCAAGAAAATTCCCAGTGCTTTGATATTAGGAACCGTGACACATGAGCTTGTTTGGCATAGATTACTCTTTTTAAAACTCGCAACAAAAGAAAGGTTGGTTTGAGAACTTTAATGGATTTCGTCTCTTTCTCTTTCAACAGTCCATTAAAGTTTTCAAACCTATGTTTACTTTGCCTAAAGTTCCACTGAAACAAAAGAAAAGTTTGTTTGTTTTATTGAATTTCGCACAAAGCTACTCGAAGGCTATATGCGCTAGCCCTCTCTAATTTAAATATAATAGACTAGAGGGAAAGCAACTAGTCAATACCACCTACCGCCAACACTTGGGCTACTCTAATCGAATTTTTGCGTCCTCACGGATGAAAGGGCAAATATGTTTGGTAATGGGATTTGAATCCGTGCCCCACAAATAACGAGTCGAACACTTTAGCCATCAGGCCATCTTGGAACAAAGAAAAGAAAGAGGAACTTTGAGAAGTTTAGAAAATTTAAAACAAGCAAGTTTCTTTTGACGAAAATTAACATATCTCTAAATGAATCTTCAACATTTACTTTCAACAATCTCCAAGTCATCTTTTAACATATAAAGAATCTAATATTAAACATATTTTCAGTTTCGGGGTTGTTACAGTGTGTCCCAAGATTTAGGAACCCTATCTTAACATTCACTTACCAACGTTAATCATGAAATTCCACATCTTAGTTTCTAAACGTGTGCTGCGTCTGACACAGCGCTGAGATAAGGACTTGTTGTAAAATGACGTTTAATTTTCAAATATGAAACACCATGGTCAGACATTTCAATAATATTATTTAATTTTTATATTATCTAGTACTGATCCCACATTTATCAGTAATCAGTTTCATCTAACAGTGTATAAACTTAAGATTAATAATCACACCACTTTATCTATCTCTCAGCGGCGGCAAACACACTTAATCATAATAACATATATTAACTTGGTTTGAACATCAAGAAACTTACGAAAATTATTTTGAAGCGAAAATCAGTAGTTGTGGAGAAAAAAAGATTAAAGCATAAAAGTTTTTTTCAATGGGTTTCCTAATCACGTGGTTAAATATGTTGCGAGATAATAAGAAGATAAAAATTCTGGGCAGCGCCGTAATGTCTGCGTCCTTCGTGTGACTCGCGACGTGCCAGCGCATAGGTTGCTTTAAGCATGCGCAAAGCTAATGTCACTTGCGAATGGAGTTCTTCTCTGATGATTTCTTCAGTTAAGCACTTGTCATCTGAGCGTTGTAACATGAAAAAGTTCAAGGTCTCTATCAATGCTTATTACTATCCTTGTTGCTGAATGCAAGGAGTGTCTGACTATCAAGCTGCAGCAATAAAACTTAATAACATGTTTCATAAACGACAAGACCCGTGTTTGTGTTACTCGTAGTTTAAGATATATGCTGAGTTGACTTGCAGTAGCGTTTTGATCAAGATACCTCAGAATGCTTCAAATCAAGTTGTTTATGTATGTGTAATTAGGATGCTAACTACTTATTCTTACAGGTACATAGTATGTAAATATATCCCAAAACTAATGAAAAATTAACAAAGTATTCATCGGAATCATATACTAAAGAAAGGACAAAGTATACATTAAAAATCTGTCATCAAACTTTTAACAATATATGCACTAGAAACCTGTCCCATAGAGCTAATAAAAATGCACCTCAAGGAATATCTTCAAAGGAGTTAACCAAGCGAACACTAGAGACATCTTAAAGAGTTATAAAAATATTCACCAAAAACTCGACCCAAAGCGTTAGCCAAGTGAAAACTAAAAACATTCTCAAAATAATTATTAAAGCCTTCACCAGAAAACAGACCCAAATAGTTAACCAAATGAACACTAGAAATATCTTCAAAAGAGTTATCAAAGCATTCACCAGAAACTTGACACCAAGCGTTACCAAGGTAAAACTAGGATTATCTTCAAAAGAATGACCAAAGCATTCTCCAGAAACTTGACCGAAAGAGTTAACTAAGCGAACTCTAGAAACATTTGCAAAAGAGTTATCAAAACATTCACCAGAAACTTGACCCAAAGCGTTAACCAAGAGAACACTAGAAATATATGGAAAGGAGGTTAAAAAAACTATGTACCAGAAACATGCATCTTCAAAGAAGTTAACATTGCATGCGCCACCAGAAAGATGGCCTAAAGAGTTAACCAAGCATGAAAAAGATACCTGTTCCAAAAACATCTTACAGTGTACGCCAGAAACCTGTCCCAAAGTATGTACTAGTAACATGTCAGAAAAAGCTGACAAGCACGCAATATAAACCTGTCTCAAAAAGTTATCAAAGCACATGACAGAAACTTGTTCCATAAAAGCTCAGAAAATATGCACCAAAAATCTGTTTAAAAGAATGGACAAAGGATGCACCAAAAATCCACCTCAAAGAGTTAACAAAGTATATGTCAGAAGGCTGTCCTAAACACACACACATATATATATACCTATACTAAAGTGTGGACTAAGCATATAGTAGAAACCTGTCTTGAAAGCTAACACAGGTATACTAGAAGTTTGTTTATAAGATATAGTAAGCATACACACGCAAGCTAACCTTGAAGTTTGAAAAAAACATACAAGTATCTGACAGGCTTTGCCTTATTTTCAGAGTGAAATTGGTTGAAGATCAAACATAATCAAATGTTAGTTTCATGACATTTGCGCATGATGTTTGGTGAGTAAACAGTTGGCGCTGCCGACAAGTAGTTGAAATATCATGTACACACGGATATCTCAGTGACTGGAAGTGATAACGTGTTACGTTAGTGTCCAAACAACAAGCCCATTGCTCATAAATAATAAAGGCGTGCTTATATTATTGCAGGAAAAACGGTCACGGTGGAACTTCATTTGCTAGTTTATCTCTAGTCCAAATGGGCCAGACTTGGCATTGTAGTTAGCATACTCGGACTGTGATTCGAAAGACCCGTTGTTGCTAAAAAAGAGTTCCACATTTTGGGTCGTGGTTGCATTAAAAGATCTACGAACAAATCCTTACTATTTGATCAGACAATAGCAAAAAATAAAAAATAAACAGTTGGTGATGGGTGCTGTAGTCCTTGTGTGGCTTTGAACAAAAATTCTGATACAAACAAGTGTATATGCTTGCTTATGTATATGATCAGAATTTATTGGGAATTTTTGTAGCACAATGTTTCATACGGATGCATTTCTGAATCTTTATCGTTATGTTAATAAAATATTTTATATAGTTTGTTTGCGACTTTCATCACAGTTGTCTAACAGGACTTCGGTGATAATCAATTATATCAATCATAAATATTCTAATGATTTTTATATCTTACAACTTTTTGTTTGTTTGTAATTAAGCACAAAGCTACACAATGGGCTATCTGTGCTCTGCCCACCACGGGTATCGAAACCCGGATTCTAGCGTTGTAAGTCCGCAGACATACCACTGTACCACTGGGGGGGCACACCTTTTTGTACACTTTTTGTTGTTATTATTATTAAGCTCAAAGCTACATAATGGGCTATCTGTACTCTGCCCACCAGGGGTATAAAAACCAGATTTTTAGCGCTATAAGCCTGCAGATTTACCGCTGAGCCACTAGGGAGCAATCAGTATATTTTTGAAAGTACTATTAAAATTAATTCATCGTGTTATCTCCATCATATTATTATTATTGTTCCAAAAACTGATGAGCGAATGTTGGAGAGTTTTTTTGTTTCACTGGATAAACGATATTTCTCAAACACTGTGAGTGAGAAAACATGATACTCATGGTTATTTATATGTTTGCTTCGCACAAAGCTACAAGAGGGTCATCTGCGCTAGCCGTCCATAATTTTGAAGTAATAGACAAGAGAGAAGGCAGTTGATCAACACCATCCACTACTAACTCTCGGGATACTCTTGACATCCGAATAGTGGGATTTCACTGTCACTCGTATAACACAACCAGAGCCCCACGTATGACACGCTAATCATAGGCCTCGCTCGGTCCATCTGTACACGTAGAACTTAACAGAAGTATGATAAATTCATCTTGGAGATTAGAGATGGATTTGAATTTCACATCAGAAACTAATAAACGCAAATTTTATAACTGCTTCTATCTAGCTAGCTAGTTATTTATTATACGTTTATATTTGTCGTCTTATCTCGGAATTATATGCTTATTTTCAGGTGAACTACTATTACACCCATCATTATAATGTGCTATAAAAACCCTGTTGAGTTTCTAGCAAATAGCAGAATAAGTAAAAAGTACTTCAAAGTCCTCATTCTATGCGAGATACTTGTTAACAAGGACAAACGTATTTCTTGTACTAGAAAACCAAAGTCCCTGAAGTCTCTGTAAAGCCGTTGTTCAGTGGTAAATCCTAAGTGCAATGAACAGCAAATGTGTTTACCCTGCTCATATATTTAATACTACTATTATACTCCTTTTACTTCAGAAGCTTAAACTCTTCATTCTAACACATTGGCCATTTATTGTAATTATTAAGCATTGTGGTGTCTTAACGTTTGTTTGTCAAAGTAAATAATTTAATTATTGGTGCGCTACGATCGATGCTAATTATTACTTGATAAACAAACTTAATTCTATCTTTGAAATTAATATTAATATCATATATGTATTAGGTAGTCAAGAAATTAATGTCACTTTTTTTTAGATGAAAAACCCGAACAACTTATATATGAAACAAAACACTTAGTCTTCATTCTTATCGATGATGCTTTTCTATCTTACAACCAGGTTGTTAATGCCCTGATTAAAGGAATCAGTTGGCTTTGAAGCAAAAAACATGTCGATGTCCTATTTAACACCTTCCACATTTGCATACGTTTCCCCATTAAGATGGTGTTGCAGCGAACGAAAAAGATGATAATCTGATGGTGCTATATCTGGAGAATATGGTGGGTGGGGGAGAACTTCCCAACTCAATTTCATAATCTTGTGTTGTATCAAATGTGCCATATGTGGAGATGCATTGTTGTGGAGAAGAAGAGCACCTTTCCGATTGACGAGTGAAGGGCTGATAATGGGTTTGCTTTAAACATTCCAGTTGCTGACTATAAATCTCTGCATTGACAGTTCGCTGTGGATTGAGGAGTTCAAAATGAATTACTCCTTTGATGTCCCACCAAATGCAAAGCATCACTTTCTGCGAATGGAATCTAGGTTTTGGGGTCGGCAGTGGTTTTTTTCTAGGACTGAGCCATTGTTTTTGGCGTTTAATATTCACATACAGAATCAATTTTTCATCACCAGTGAGAATTCTGTCCAAACATGGTTCACGCACTTTACACGCTAGAGAGACGAAGCAACGCTCATACTTTGGAAACGATGATCATCGGAGAGCTCGTGAGACACCCAAACACCTTATTTATGGAGTTTTCCCATATTCCTTTGGTGTTTACGCATTGTTTAATGAGAGACATGCAATTTCAGGTCATTTCACGAGTGTGTTGCCTTGAGTTACACTCAACAAGCGTCTTCAGAACATCAATATCATTTCCAAC